GTGATTTTTGGGTCTATGTCTGAGTTGAGTGTACCGGGGATGCTGTGGATAGTGATGATGTGGTCAAAGAAGAGGCGAGAAGTTGCTTCATCTGTAGCCGTGGTGTTGGTTGGGATGAAGTGTCCCACTCTGGAGCATTTGTCTATCACCACGAGTAATGCGTCATGCCCTCGTGAGGTTGAAGGAAGCCAAGTGATGAAGTCTAGGCTAACGACTTGCCGAGGCTGCTCTGGTCTGGGTAGAGGTTGAAGTAACCCTGCTTTTTTGTGCTTGCTACTCTTCATCCGCTGGCACGTGTCGCATGAGGTGCCGAACTGCTGCACGTCTGCTGCCATCCGGGGCCAGTAGTAATGCTTAGCTATTCCCGCTAACGTCTTGCTGCTCTTGAAATGTCCTGCGTATGCTACGTCATGAAACTCCTCTAGAAAGATCTGTCGGAGCAGGGCATAGTTCGGTACCCAAAACTTTCCTGAACCTTTCGTTACCATTAAGTCATTCTCCCACTATAACAGCTTTTGTTTCTGTGCTGTAGCGATTTTGCATCCATAGAGTACCCATGTTGGAACAGACCCTTGCGCAGAGGGTTCATCCCGTCGAGCTGGACGCCTGCTACAAGCTCTGGGCGGCTCAATGCATCGACCTTGTTGTATAGCCCTGGCTTGTAAACGATGTCTTCTTGGAAGTGTGTTTCCAGGATGCCCCTCCACCGCACCTGTCGTCGTGAGAGCGTAGGCTGCGACTTAAGGTATTTGAGACTTAAGGTACTTGCCTTCCTCTAGGTAACATCTCGATGCCTTGAAGGCTGTGACTATCGCTAAGGCTTCCTTGCCATGGATTGAGTACTTTAGTTCTGTTCCGTGTAGCTTCTTACTAAGGTATGCGATGGGATGCAAACCGCGTCCGTGGTCCTGCATAAGTACTACTCTAACTGCTTGGTCACTAGTGTTTGCTTCCACCACGTAACTCCTATCTCGATCCGGTAGGATGAGTACTGGGGCAGTATTCAGTGCTGTTTGTAGCTGCTCCATGGCTTGTTGTTGAGGACTATCCCACTTATAGGGTGCCTCTTTCAGTAATTTTGTCAGTGGCGCTGCCATCTTAGCGTACTGTGGCACGAATCGGTTGTAGTAGTTGGCGAAGCCTAGCTGCAACTCTTTGACGTTATCCGGCACTTTCCACTTTTTTACGGCTTCGATCTTCCACGGGTCCACTCCGCACTCACCATGTGCCCAAGAAATTGCACCTTCTTTGGGGCAAAGTCACTTCTTGATAGCTTCACGTAGAACTTGGTCTCCCGCAGGATCTCGAAGACTTTCCGCAGATGCTTCACGTGCTCTTTCAGGTTCTTTGAGTAGATCAAGATGTCGTCCAGGTACACCACCGTGCATTCGTCCAGCAGGAGCCATAGGATGTGGTTCGTCTCTGCCTGGAATGTCACTAGTGCATTGCAAAGTCCGAACATCATGACTAAGTATTCGTATGAGCCATATCTGATACGGAACGCCGTCTTGTGGACTGAGTTGTCTGCCATTTTGATATGCTAGTAACCTGACCGTAGGTCCAGCTTCGTAAATACTGTTGCACCATGCAGATGGTCTAGAAGATCGTCTATGTGCGGTATGGGGTATTTGTTCCTGAAAGTCTGTTTGTGCAGTGCGTGGTAGTCGATAAAGATCCATAAATCACCGTCCGGCTTAGGAGAGAAGAGTACCGGTGCGCGGTAGGGAGAGGTGGATGGTCAGATCAGTTTTATGTCCAGTAGGTATTCGATCTGTTTCTTCATGTCTATGAGTTCGGTCTGACTAAGGTGGTATGGTGCACTAGAGACAGGTTTCGCACCTGGTTCCTCCACGATCTCTTGCTCATGGGTTCGCGCTGGAGGCACTTCTGCAAGCAAGTCATCCAACATGATGTCCTTGTACTCGTCTAACACCTCCTGTACTGCTGCAGGTAGATTCGAGTTTGGCTGCAAACCCTTTGCTGCTGCCAGATAACCCGTGTTACTCTTGTTCACCGTCTGTTCGAACCGTGCAAGTGTCGTCTCAGGAACATACCCTGAATCCCTCCTGCTTCTCAGCTCCACATGTTTCCCGTTGTTGTGGATGTACGCCTTCCGGTTGACCCAGTCTATCTCAGAGTTGAACCTCTTCAATCACGCCCCAAGATGAAATGTAATCCCTTGATCTTCGTAATTGGTAACGTCGGCTTCCACCCTCAATGCACACTCATCCCAGCAAGCTTCATGCCCTTCCAATGCTCAGGTTCAGCCAGGCGCTTGGTGAGAATGTCAGCCGCCTGCTGATGGGTTTTCACAATCTCCAGCCGCACCTCCTTGTCCAGGAGCCTCCTCACCCAATGCCACTTAGGCCTAATGTGTTTGATCAGCCCATGAAGACTAGCATTCTTGGCTAACTTTACTGGCGACTCATTGTGACAGAACATCACAGTCGGCTCCCTCTGACCAACACTGATCTCCTCCAACAAATGCCTCAGCCACACCACCTCCTTGCCCCGTGATGCAGGGCCATGTACGCTGTCTCACATAAAGACAGCCCCACCTCGTTCTGCTTCTTGCTGCGCCAGCTCACTGCACCTCCTCCAAACAGGCACACAAAACCTCCAATGCTGGTGCCATCCGTCTTCACAGAGTTGAAACTGGCACCGGTGTAGCAAGTCAAGAGCATCTCCCCCATGCTCAAATCAGCTGCACCCATCTGCAGAGTTTGTCGCACAGCACTGTACTCCAAACCCACAGATGCTGTAGCACTCACATAGCGGACCAATCTCTTCGCCGCTTCCAACTGCTCATGACTAGGGCGTGAGACCACACTTGCAAGCTTGGATGTAGCAAATGCAATGTTAGGTCGTGTGTGGTTCGCCGTATGGTTGAGTGCCCCAACCACGGAATGAAACAGCTTCCTGTCACTCTCACCCACCACCTCCTCATCAGCAAAGGGCTCCACAGTGAACCCCGAAGGCAGTCGGGTGGCTGGCTTTCGTACATCTTGCAGTCCATACTTCTCAGCCAGCCCCTCACAATACTTCCTCAGGTGCAACCTCAACACTCCCTTGTCAAGGTCCCTCTCCACATGCATCCCCAAGTAGTACTTCACATCTCCCATCTTGGAACACTTAAGCTGCATTTCCAGCATCTCCTCCGCACGCTCAATCATCGCAGACGACTCGGAGAAAAGACGGATGTCGTCCACGTACACCATGAGCATGAGGAACTGCTCCTTCTCTTGCAGCAGGAACAAGCTATGATCACACTCGCTCTTCTTGAAACCCCCAGCCAGCAGTGTCTCCTCTAGATTGTGGTACCATGCACGAGGAGCCTGCTTCAGGCCATAGATAGCCTTCTTCAGCCTGCACACCGTGCCGCTCCCATCATCCAACCCCTCAGGCTGCAGCATATACAGCTCCTCCAGGATGATCCCATTGAGGAAAGTAGTCGTGATGTCCATCTGCTTCATCTTCCATTTGTCATTTGCAGCCGTTCCCAACATCACCCTTAGTGTTGTCCCTTTCCCCACAGGAGCATAGTGCTCGTCGAAGTCCTTTCCCTTTGTCTTCTGAAACCCCTTAGCCATAAGCCTTGACTTGTAGCGGTTCAGCGCCCCATTTGGTCCATACTTATGCCTGAAGATCAGCTTGGATGAAATGGCCTTCTTCCCAGGAGGCAGCTCACACAGCTCCCATGTCTCGTTCTCCAGCAGAGAGTCATACTCCTCCTTCACACTTTGCTTCCACTTTTCAGCATTGGGCCCGCTCAATGCCTCGGCTAGCATCTTGGGCTCAGGGACGGCTGCCCGATAGCAGTGTGCTATCTCGTCCTCATCACACTGCTCAGCCACACTCCCAGCCCGTACTACCTTCGGCTTTCCAAAACTCGGATAGGTCAGCCTGTTGGGAGGGCGCACATCCCTCCTAGGACGGTCATGCGGGCGTTGGTCACGTGGTGGAGCATCTTGCTGCTGTTGTTGCTGCTGCTGCTCCTCCACCTCAGGTTCTCCCCCATCCCCTGTCACCCAAAAGATCTCCTCCTCTGAGACAGTGACCTGCACTTGCCTCGAAGGCCGCTGCACCTCATCAGCCTCAATGATCAGCGGTGCAGTAGGAAGCTTATGCTGCTGCTGCTTCCACTCCTCGTAGTACAAGGACTCAAGGAACTTCACATCCCTCGACATAGTCATCTGCTGGCTGGTCAAGTCCCATATCAACCAGCCATTTTGATCCTTAGCAAGCCCCAAGTGCACACTCCATCTCCCAGAAGCTTCCAGCTTTCCCCTCTTCTTCTTAGGCACACGAAACACACCGTGCAGCCGTAGGCTCTCAACATGTTGACTACTGGTGCACTCCCATACCACTTGGTGTACGGGACCCACTGCTTGTCCCCCACAGTCGCCAACACCCTGTTCTTCACAAGGGCAACCTGCCGCAGTGCAGTCACCCAAAACGCATCCGGCAGCCCTGCACACCCAAGGAGAGTACGAGCACCTTCCTGCAGGGTCCGGTTGAACCGCTCAGCCGCCCCGTTTTGCTGGGGGTTGTAGGGCGCCGTGAGCTGATGCTGAATCCCCTTCTTCTTCAGCACCGCCTCAAAGTCAGCACCAATGAACTCTCCCCCGTGGTCGGTGCGGATCACCTTCTCCTTGTGTTCGCTCTCCCTTTGAGCTCTTGGCATCCACTCCGTAAAAACAGCCGCTGCCACCTCCCCTTGGTCTTGAGAGGGTACACCCATACCGCACGCGTGTGGTCGTCCACAATCGTCAAGAAGTAGCGGCTGCCCGAGAGAAAAAGGGCCCTTGTAGGGCCCACCATATCCATGTGCACAAGCGCGAGCGGCGTCTTGGCTGGTCTCGTGCCGCTGCTGAAGGTTTCATTAGTCTCCTCTAGCTCGGTTAAAGCCCTGCGTCCAGCCGCCTAAAACCCATTCTCCAAACCTCCGCCTACTCCACTCGCTGCTTGACAACCGACACCACGACCACCTCTTGCTCGGGATGGTGATTGTTGGAGGGCCTGATCTGTCGCCAGTGCGCGCTGTCGCGGCGTCGGCTGCGGTCGCCAAACCCAAGACTGAGCGCAAAAAGGTGACCATGGCGATGAAGACCCCTGTGCCGCCGGCTCCGAAGCCCGTGACAGCAGTCGTTGGAATGCCTCCTCCCTTCGCACCCGAGGCTCCCGCTGCCGTAACTGCGCCCTTCTAGTCTGCGCCTGTTCCTAGTCCAGTTGCTGCTCTGTCTGCTCCGGTTGCTGCCGCTGTTCCTCTGGCTCCTCCCGTTGAGCCTCCGGTGTCTTTCCCAGCTGTGATTGTCGCTCTGCCTGTTCCCGTCCCAGACGCACCCGTTGCGCCGCCCACTGCTGTCTCCGCCGTGCCGTCTCCAGTTGTTGCTTCGTCGCCGCAGGTGGCGTCCGCCACCACTAGCAACGAGGCACCGGTTGGGGTGCCCTTGGTGGCGGATCCGTCTGTGCCTGCCGTTCCACATACGGTCCCTAGCGGACAGCAGTTGCGCCCCCAGTCGCCGGATCTCCGCTCGTCTCGCCCTCATTCTCCCGCACCACGCCAGGAGCGGGAGTTGTCGCGACGCCGACGTAAGTCTCTTCGGCGTCCCCGCCAGCAAGCATATTGGCCTGCTCATCACGATGGTCGTGGTGGCTGGTGGGGTTCTCGCGGTGGTGGTGGTGGTGTTGCGTATGATCCGCCTGTGAGAATGGCAGATCTGCAGCGGGTTGAGTCCAATGCGATGCGCGAGGAGAGGGCGGCGCGGAGCCAGAGCAGTTCGCTGCAGGCTACGCCGGCGTATTCGGCTCCTCGTCAGGCTGTACTTCCCATGACTCCGCCGCCAGCTGCCGCTCTCCATCCCCCTGTTGCTTCCCCATCAGCTCCTGCTCCCGCTGCCTCGGCTCCTGCTCCTGGGTCTCACCTTCGTCTGCCGCCGGTTCCGCCAGTGGCGGGTGTAGAGTTTGTGGCTGCGGGAGGGGGAGTGGCGAGGGTGCAGTACCCTCCTCTCATCGCTGGTGGTCCTGCATCTCTTGCTGCCAAAGAGCCGCTTCTGTTATTGGTGGAGGCGCTTCAGCCTCCGCAGGCCCATGTTCCCGAGGCGATGCTAGGCCAGCTCTTCCACTTTGCGGATAGCCTTCACGCATTGCTGCTGATTCAGGTGCTGGCTCACTCGTCGCTCCCTGCGATTCCCTCCGAATCGTTCCATGACGGTCCGCATGATGTTTGCTTGGACGCGGCAGACCAGCTCGCGCTGCTGCTGGCACCTGTACTGGTTGCGCCCTTAGAGGGTGGCGTTGTGGCTGCGGGACAGCTTGACGAGGCTGTCCGGAGCTTGAGGCGACACTTGCGCGCAGGTTCTGGAGCCGCCGCGATTGGCGCAAGCACGCTTGTGGTCCAGGACCTGTGGCGGACATTGACGGGCGTTCTTCACGCCCTTGGAGCTCACCGCATGTAGACACGGGCTCCGCTTGCCCCATTGTTGCTTTAGATTGTGAAGCCCGTAATTGGTGTTGATATGCGTGTAATGTCTCTCTCTCTCTCTCTCTATCTCTCTCTCTCTAATGGTCCGTATATTCATAGAGCTTGAAGGTACAAACATGCAGGGTATATAGCGCAAAGGTCTAGCTAACCAAATTGACAATCAAACAACGCAAACGAGTCACACGGCACTCACACCACCCTCCCTTCTAGAGCTCCAGAAGGGGCTCAACCACCGCGAAGCAGTCCCCAAGGTGCATCTCTTGCCCTATGCCTCCTACAGGAGGGTTTTCTGCCGCCGCCGCCTCACCCAGCTTAAGTAGGAGCCCCACGGACTGGGCCCTTTGAAGAGCCACCGACCATCTCTGACGGAACTGGTGTAGGAACTTGGCGGCATAAAATGATTTTGAGTCGGCGTTGAAGTGTCGCCGAGCCGCCGTGTCCGCTAGGAGTTTGAGGAAGATGGGTACCTCTGCACATGGGCAACCGTAGGTGTCTACGGCGAGCGGGAAAAAGCCAACCGTCTTCGGTCGGTTGGCGTAGTGCTTAATCTTTTTATCTGCTTGCTCCCTGGCCGCCCGCCCTCTGCCTTTTTGTGCCTCTGGATCCCTGGTGCTGATGGGATCCGTGATGGTGACGTGACAAATATAGGCCGCCCCACTGCTTCTGTCCATCATACTGAAGTCGGCCGTCTGTTCTTCAACAGGGCAGTATGCGGCCGACTCTCTATGAACTATAAACCCGGCGTCTTGCGCCATGCTAATGCAGGCACCCCGCAGTTCGTTGTGTGTGTTGATGCGGTGTTTGCCTGTACCGCAGCGGAGAAGGTGATTTGGGAGGTGGGGGTCAGTGATGGCCGTGTGGTCGGCGCAGTCACAGTTCTGTGGGGTTGAAAACATCAGCCCCAGTCGAAAACGCACGGCGTTAGCGAAGTGTACTGGACTGATCCGCCGTGTGGGTTCAATGGGGATTGCAGTGAGCCAGTTGCCGGTGCCATAACCCGTCAAAGAGAACATCCGCTGCGTATGACCCTTGAGCGGATTCGGCTGCATACGCCTTGTCGCCTGGACCTGTATGGCGTATTTGCTCCCGTGGACCTTAAGACCTAGCATGTGTTGAAGCCTAACGTCGGATTGCTCGAGCCGCTCCTTCTCGAGGATTTCTCGTGCATCTAGAGGCAGGGCCGTCTCGCACTCTGTGAGCCATGTGTGTAAAGGTGTGTCAGTGTCCCGCGGTAGTAGCATGTGACTCTGTGCTTGTGCCAAGGCGTTTCGGCGTCCTCTGCCATCGAGATGCAAGCATCACGGAGTTCATTATGAGTATTGATCCTGTGTTTGACCGTCCCGCAGCGGAAGAGGTGGTTCGGTAGCCGTGGGTCAGTGATTACTACGTGTTTAGAGCAGTCGCACTTCGCGGGTGTCGAGAAGGGGAGGCCTAGCCTGAAGCGGACTGCATTTGCGAAGTGTGGTGGGCCGACACGGCGGGTTGGTTCAATCGGGATAGCAGTTAGCCAGTCTCCTGTGACGTAGCCTGTCAGGGAGAAGAATCGTTGTGTGTGACCTAATAGTGGGTTGAGACTCATGTGGCGCATAGCCTGCACCTGCATGGCGTATCTGCTCCCCTGCACTCTCACCCCAAGCTCATGCTGCAGTTTCAGCCCCTTCGGCTCTAGCCTTTCCTTGTCAAGTACGTCTCTGGCCTCCTGTGGCAGCGACGTCTCACATTCCGACAGCCATTGGTGTAAGGCGGTTGTGGTGTCCCGGGGCAGGAGTATGTGATCTCGAACCGCTATCAGGGCCTCCTCTGTTTCTAGCGGTAAAGAGCTGAGGAGGAGGCTAGACTGTGTGAAACTTGCCAAATAGCCGAACCGTCCTTCCACCGTAGGGTCAGTAAGTCCAATACCCCCTAGCGACGGTGGAAGTGAAGATTGCTCCCAAACCCGGTTCTGTTCTGTGATGTCTGTTGGGAAACAAATGCCACATGCCGTGAGGAGTGTGGCCAGGAGGTCTCTACCCCAATGTGACCAGGTGTCGTGGCTGAGGTGGTGCAGTGGGGTTGTTCTTGTGAGGTATCTTACACGGCGGGAGATGCAGCGTGTGAGCAGCAGAGACGCTATCTATGGGTCTAGTCGTTCGATCAAGGGCAGCGGATTGGTCATGGCTTGCAGCTGGGCGGTTAGGAAGGCGGCGGCGCCTTCGGCTGTACCTAGAAAGCTGCCGAGAAGTTTAACACCTGCTTCACTTGTCGGTACCCCTGGCGGCAGCTGCACTGTACTGTCTATCGACATACTGCTCCACGCGGCACATTTCCCCGGGTTGTGTTGCAAACCTACTTGGGCCAGCTGGCTAGTGAAATGAGAGAAGGCTGCGAAGGCTTCACGTGGGTTGCCTAGGAAGCTTACGTCATCGGCGCATGCTAGGCACAGCACGCCGGTGTGCTGTGTTGCTGTTGCTCTCAAGGCAGGATGAATCTCAGCCGCGAAGAGAAGAGGGCCTAAGGGATCTCCTTGCTGGACCCCACGTTCACTGAGTATTGGTGGGCTATTGAAGTTGGCATCCAAAAATAGTAGGGATAGTGTACCGTATGTTAGTTTCACTAAGGGCAGTAGTGGTGATAGGGCGGGGTCCTCTAGCGCTGTCACTATGGCTTGTCGTGAGATGCTATTGAAGGCGTTGGAGATGTCTGTTTGCAGGATGAGGCAATTGGGGTGACTGTCAGTGTATGCACGTGCACTGTGTATGTTTGCTTCTGCTCCCCCTGGCACTTCTATACCGTACTGCAGCGGAAGAAAATAGCCGCGCGCCGCTTCGCCCAGGGTTGTCAGCGCGGCTTTTGCCGCTTGGCGAGTCAGGCACTCGCCAATTGCTATTGGCCGAGTCCCCCCTTCAGGTTTCGTCAAGGCAATCAGGCGGGAGGATGTGAGTAATTCCGCGACTGGAAGTGGCAGCTTTCCTTTCAGAATCGTATTAACCAAGGCGTGCAGATGGGTTGAGATGGATGCGTTTGTCACTGACGCATCGCGTAAGTGTTCAAATTTCATTCCGCTTGGACCGGCCCCCACGCCATTCTTGCATCGGCTGAGCAGCTTCAAAAATCCGCGTATGCAATCTCGAGGTTGACAAGGTCTGTGTTGACTGGCCAGTTCAAAGGATCAGGGTCAGCCGGTGGGTGCTTGCGTCGGAGTTTGTCCAGGATCTCTGGACTGGGTGTACAGACTGGCGTTGACTCGAGCGCCATCACAGCTCGGCACAGGCTCCCCTTTTTCGCCAATCCCTCAGCTCTTCTGATGGTCCCCACGCCGTCTGGTTGGTGATGTGGCGGGGGTGGTGTATTGACTCCTTCCACCGCGTCCAAGTATAGCTGTTGTGACTCGCCACGTTGAAATGCTCGGAGGCAAGCTTAGATTTTGGGCCAATCATGGCGTCTCGGCGAAGCTTGTCGCAGTGTAAGGCGAGGGAGAAAGAGGAGTAACTTCCAGCCCGCGATGGAGTCAGGGCTTCGCGAGAGGTGCAGAAGGGGCGTCAGTACCGCGAGCAAGAATATCTCGCACATATTTGGCGGTAGCCGTCGTAATAGTGTGGGTTGGCGACCATCGCAGAATGATGAAATGTCCCATTCTGCCACTTGGCAATTTTTTCAGCCTGTCTCACCAGCTCCTCTGGCGAAAAGTAGCGGGAATTTGAGGCTGGCGAGCCGTATTCGCCTGCCCTCCCGCGGTCCGATTTCCACGACCGCGGCCCGTTGCACGAGTAGAAGGCGGGGTGGGAATTGTGGCCGTCCGATCGGCATCGTGCGGCCCCCGTGTGTTTTCTGGTTGCACCGCCGTTCCTCTCTGGCTTCCTCCACTTGGTCTTGTCAATTGCTCTCTCTCCTCCTCGTCTTCCTCTTCGCTGCTGCTGCTCGGCGCTTGCGCCTCATCCCTATAAGAGGATTCATTCCGCTCATCCGGATCAGTATTCTCACGCTTGGAGACCCCCCCTGGTATTCCGCCTCGGCCGTCTTTGCCGTCTCCGCAGCCTACTGTTGTGGACTCTGGAGCTGAGACTGCTGGTCCTGAGCCTGGGGGTGTTGAGACAGAGGGTGAGGGTTCTGGGGGTGCTGCGACTGGGGGTGCTGGTTCTGGGGGTGCTGGTTCTGGGGGTGCTGCGACTGGGGGTGTTGCGACTGGGGGTGCTGGTTCTGCGGGTACTTCGACTGGGGGTGCTGACTCTGAAGGTGCTGCGAGTCCTAGTGGTGGTGGAGCTGTGGGTGACCCTACTGGAGGTCTTGGAGCTGGACAGCCACCGCAGCCTGATCTACTTGAGACGCTCTCGCCGCAGGCGATTCGTGTGTGGATCGTTCGGCGAGGCAGTCCTGGTGGTGGAGGGTACGGTTCTGCTGGTGCTGGAGCTACTAATCCTGGAGGTACTGCTGTTGCTGGAGGTCCTGGAGGTACTGCTGGAGGTGCTGCTGGTGCTGGAGGTGCTGGAGGTACTAGAGGTGCTGCTAGTGCTGGAGGTACTAGAGCTGCTAGTCCTGGAGGTGCTCGAAGTGGTGCTAGTACTGGAGGTGCCGCGGCTACTAGTCCTGGAGGTACTACTGGTGCTAGAGGTGCTGGAGCTGCTAGTCCTGGAGGTCCAGCTGGTGCTGGAGGTGATGGAGCTGCTGGCACTGGAGGTACTGGTGCTGCTGGTGTTGGAGGTGCTGGAGGTGCTGCTGGTGCTCGAGGCGCTGGAGCTGGAGGTAATGGAGGTACTGGAGCTGCTAGTCCTGGAGGTGCTCGTACTGGAGGTGCTGGAGCTGCCGGAGCTGGTGGTGCTGCTGGTGCTGGACGTGCTGGAGGTGCTGCTGCTGGCCCTGCAGGTGCAGGAGTTACTACTGGTGCTAGAGGTGCTGGTGTTAAGATGATAGGGTAGGAATGAATGACTAGAGAAGGAGTTGGGTACAAATATGAAACCCTAAACTGATGTACCCCTTATTGTCAACCCCACTACAGCC